TTTTCATTCATATACTTGGTGTCTACTTTGGCCACCGGATGCAAAGAGTTGACTCATTGGAAAAGACTCTGATGCTGGGAAAGATTGAAGGTAGGGGGACAAGAGGACGATAGAGATGAGATGGTTGGATGGCATCACCAACTCGATGGACATGAGTTTGAGCAAGCTCCAGGAGTTGGTGGTGGACAGGGAAGCCTGACGTGCTGCAATCCACGGGGTGGCAAAGTGTCAGACACGACTGAGCGACTGAACGACGACAGATAGACAAGATAGTGTCTATCTCCCCCACTTCAATGAAAACTCCAAACTCCAAGAGAGTGTGAGGAAGAGCATTTCCCCACAGCTAGCACAGTGCCTAGCACAGAGGGAGTACCAGATAAATGTCTACTGAATGAATAAAGAATGACGTTTACTGTTTGGCTCTGCACAAGTAATTCGACATCTCTGGGCTCAACCACCTATATTGGTGGGGTATATATATACCTGCCTGGTGGCTCAGACAGTAAAGAATCCACCTGCAAAGCAGAGACCTGGGTTCAATCCCTGGGTTGGGAAGATCACCTGGAGGAGGGCATGGCACCCCACTTCAGTATTCTTGCCTGGAGAATCCCCATGGAAAGAGAAGCCTGGCTGGCTAAAGTTCATGGGATCACAGAGAGTCAGACAAGACTGAGCAACTAAGCATATATATATATAATTTTATTTATTTTTGGCTGTGCTGGTGATGGGCTGTTGTGACGAACAGGGGCTACTCTCTAGTTGTGGTGCATGGGCTTCTCACTGCAGTGGCTTCTTTTGTTGCAGAGCAGAGGCTCTAGGGCATGTGGGCTTCAGCATTTGCGGCTCACAGGCTCTTGAGCACAGGTTCAGTAGTTGTGGTGCCCAGGCTTAGTTACTCTGTAGCTTGTGAGATCTTCCCGGATCAGAGATCAAACCCATATCTTCCTGCACTGGCAGATGGATTCTTTACCACTGAGCCACCAAGGAAGCTCATCCACCCATTCTTTAAGGAGATGACTACTTCCTTGGGTCAGAGAGAAGATGTGAAGACACAAAGAATGGTTTAAAGCACATACAGGAAGAATTCACATGGCTGACAATATCCATAATCCTGATCTACTCAAAGCTTCATAATTCTCCTTGGACTTTCCTTTCCATGTCTTCCCTTGAACTTCACAACATCCCATGAAGCAAGAAGAGAGAAGATTATTTTCTCCTTTTGGTCTTTGGGGAAACAGGCCAATGGAGGGGAAGAGTTACTCCAGATCACACGATGACCACACTGCAGGGCAGAGTCAGGACTAAAACCCAGGATTCCTGGGTTGGCTCCATCATCCCACAGAACCCCGGATTCTTCCCTTCCCTCAGACCCAATAGCCCTCACAATGGGTCCCACGTGGAGGTAGTGGAAAGCCAATTCCCACTCTTCTCTTCCCACAGGTCCCGGGGGGTTGCTTGGCAACCAGCACCCAAGCAATAAGTGGCCTCTAGTCAGGTCTGTTGCTGTGTGGTTACCAATTCTCCCGCCTCCTTCCACACCTGTGCATGCTCTCACTCTCTATTCATGAAATTTCTCCCCTACCCTTACCTCCCCAGTCAGATTATCTTCTCTAGTCCACAAAAATTAACCTTTCGGGACACAGAAGGGGCTCTCAAGGACTTATATGGCAAGGGACACTGGGAAACAAGGCACCACCAGTACCCTCATGATCCCCCAGAGATGGTAGAAACTCCTCTTGTGAATGGTCCTGCTCAGCAATATTAACCTCCTCTTCTTCCCTCTCCACCTTCCACCCTGACAATGGCTTTTTGAAATCCCCCGGGAGAGACTGAATGAGCTTGAGAAATTTAATTGAACACTTCATACAGTGTTAATGAATCCCTGGATGCCATTCCAGCACTTCTGGAACCACAGGTGGGAAACCTTGGGAGGGAAATCAGTCACTGTCTGCATGAGGGTCAGGAGCAGAGAGAGGACAGGACTTAACTTTTATTGTATTCTTAATATGTGCCAGGCACAATACTATGTTATCACGTGTGGCTTCCCCTCAACAAACCTATGAGACCTTTACAGTTGAGGATATTATCTACTCATAAAAGTGGAGTGACTTACCAAAGCCTATATATCTGCCTGCTTCGGTACACAAAAGATATTAAAATACACTACAATGACAAAGGCAATATTCAAATGCTTACATTTTAAAGCATTTATGAACAGCACAGAAATGTTTATTTTCTGCTACAGAAAGTACACATGCATACAAACACACACACACACAAAAACCTTTGCTAATCTTTTTTTTTAGCAAAAGCAATGTGCTTATGTCAGATCATATTAGATTGTCATTGATTTTACCTCAAAACATGGCTAACATTGAACTTATGCTAGGTGTTGGGGAAACATGTCTAGCCATTTTCTGTGCTCACTTAGGCTCACTATAATTAGTATAGTCCTCAATCAGAAGCTTCTTTGTGGGTTTCTTTTAAGCTACATATATATCATGGGGGTTCATTTCATTAAAAATAGTGCAATCAATAAACCCACTTAATGAGGCATAGGAAAACTGCAAAAGCTCACAATGGGCTGAAAATAAATAAAAGAGTAAGGGAGCCGCTACTGCCAATCCCTTAGAAGGGCAGATTTGTCTCCTTCCACCTGAAGGGTGTTTGAGTGTAGAATATAGACTGTCTCCTGAAGAGTATTTGAGTGCAGGATATATGACCATCTAATGTGGAGATCAAATGAAGACATCCATGTAAATCCATATAGCAAATATTAGCATACACTGATTTTGTATTCAAAGATAATAAATTCTAGTAAGTTTCTTCAGCTCCCTAAGGAATAATCAGGCATGTAGCCTCTGGCCCATGTCAAGAACCTTTTATTTGCTGTCTAAGGTCTCTCTAACACCCAAACTGCCACCCGACAGCCTCTCCAGCAAATTTCTCTCAGCATCCCCTCCGCACTCTTTCTCGGCCTTGCTCCATTTTCACTGGATTGCTCACCATGCCCCAAATATCCTGTGCTTTCAGCCCCCTCTGTGCACTGGCTGCAGGGAGGATGTCAGACTACACAAATGGAAGCACTGGCACATAATAGGCACTTAATAAATGCTGATTGATCCTCACCATGAGGTAGTTAAACTAGATCCGTGGTTCTTCAATTTTGAAATTGAAATTGAAGTCGCTCAGTCGTGTCCGACTCTTTGCAACCCCATGGACGGTAGCCTACCAGGCTCTGCGGTCCATGGGATCTTCCAGGCAAGAATACTGGAGTGGGCTGCCATTTCCTTCTCCAGGGGATCTTCCCAACCCAGGGATCGAACCCGGGTCTCCTGCATTGCAGACAGATGCTTTACTGTCTGAGCTGTTAGCCTACATCAAAACACCCGGATGGTTTGTTATAGCACATTATTGGGCTATACCCCAGAGTTTCTGATTCTCTGGGTGTGAGGAGGGACCTGAGATTCTTCATCTCTAACAAATTCCTAATGGTGCTGATGCTGTTGATCTGGACATCACACTTCTAGAACCAATGAACTTAATGGTCTGCATAGTTTCTCCCATTTCCAATGGCTTATGATTCCTTGATGTGTGTAATAGAGAATAAATAAACAAAATAAACTTTTATCTCTATATAAATTCATACTTAATATGACCACAAATGGAAACATGGGCCCTATAATACCTAATGAACACAGTGTAGAGAAAAAAAACTCATACTTTAGAATCAGAAGATCTGAGTTGGAATCTCACTTTGTAGCTGTGTGGTCAACTTAAGGTAAATTAATTATGCTCTGAATATCTGTCCCATGGGGTTGTGAGATAATATTAATTCATGGAAAAAATTGTAAAACAAAAAGCACTGTATACAGATTATACTAATAACATATATGTACAATGTATTAATGTTGAGTGGACTGATAATGAATAATACGTTTTGAATACTTTAAATCACAGATTTTTAAAATTTCCAATCTCAACACTAATTCATTATCAAAAAGTATATGATGTACATGTTGCTATTATCATCTCAAATATGTATATATTTTATTAGTACACTGGCAAATACCAATAATAGTAGCTGTGATAGCCAGTTTCCAAGATGGTCCCCAATAATCCTCACCTCCCAGGACTCATGCCTTTGTATAGTTTCCTTCTATATTGAATTAGTGACCAATAGCATACTCTAATTAGAGACATCACCACTTCCGGTGTGGTTTCTTGGCTCGCTCCCCCTAGGACAAGCTAGCTCCATGTCATTAAGACATTGTATGAAGAGAGCCATGTAGGAAGGGACAAAGGTCTCCTACTAAAGTCAGTGCCAGACACATGAGTAAGCCACCTTGGAAAGGAATCCTCCAGGTCCACTCAAGCCTTCAGATGACTGCAACCCAAACCAACATCTGCCAGCAACCTCATAATAGATCACAAGCCAGAAACAAAGCCACTCCCAAATATTCGATCCATAGAACTGTGTGTTAATGAATTATTGTTGTTTTAAGCCATCAAGTTTTAAGGTGATTACACAGTGATAGATTATGGACATAGTAGCTAATATTTACTGTACATTTATTACATTCCAGGAACTATGCTAAGCACTCACCAACCCTATGATATAGATGTCATTATAATCCCCAAAGAGGAATGCCTGACCTAGAGAGGTTAAGTAACTTAGTCCAGGTTCCATGACTAGTAACTGGCAAAACTGAAACCTGAATCCAGGCCTATAACTCCAAAGCCCAGGCTCTTGATCACTCATCTGAATAATCCAGGATAAAACCTCTTGGGACAGTTAAGCAGCAGAAGCAACTGAGTTCCCAGATGAGAGCAAATGTATAAAATCAGCAAGGGGCAGTCCAGGGGCCAGACATGCAGTAGCACTGGGGTCTAATGTCATAAACCCCAGTAAAGTTCTAAACTGGCCCCACTGCCCAGCCTTTGTACTAGCAAGCAAGTCAGCTCTCGGGACACTTCTGCCCAAGACGCCCAGGACTCACCCAAATCTGCAGCTTCACTCGCTTCTCGTGGCGGTAGACAGTCTTCACCTTAAAGTCGATGCCCACGGTGCTGACGAAGGCTGGGGTGAAGGTGTCATCGGCATAGCGGAAGAGGAAGGAAGTCTTGCCGACACTGCTGTTGCCAATGATGAGTAGTTTGAACATGTAGTCAAAATTCTGGTCAGAAGCATCCTTGACTCCGGCTTTACCATCGGTCACTGAAGCCATCTGCAGGAGAGAACACAGGAACACATCTCCAGTCTCACACTGAGTCACCTAACTTTCAATGCTCACACACCCATTCACACACTCACTCCCCACCCCAGCATCACTGAGGAAAGACACTACTCAGAATCACCCCCGCACTGAATCTGCCCCCAATGTCATCTCAGGATTGGGGTGGAACCAGCTCCTCCCAAATATTCCTTCAGCAAATATTTACTGAGTACACTGTTCCGAGTCAAGTCCTGTGCTGGGCACAAAGAATACAAATATGAATCAGACATGGTGTCTGACCTCTGAGCGGCCGCAGATTAGAGTAAAAAACTCAGAGTAACAAAAGCAGTGGATAGGTGATAAGACAGAGGGAAGCCTTGGCTGAGGAAGCTCATCAGAAGTACCTAACCCAGCCTGAGGACATGGTGGTCAAGGAGAGGCTCCTCTAGGAGACAGCTCCTAAGCTGAGTTTGGGAGTGGTTGGAGGGAGGAAGGACAAGACAGCAAATGTTTGAACATTCCAGGAAAAGCCAACACACGGCTCTCATTCTCCTGTTTCAAAAACATTTGTGGCTCCCTATAGTTCTAAATATCAAACCCAAACTGTTCAAATTGACAAAGAACCACCTAACCAAAGAATAAATTTTCTAAATTTTACCTTCCCACGCTGGGCTGGAAGAAGCACAAGCTGGAATCAAGATTGCCGGGAGAAATATCAATAACCTCAGATATGCAGACGACACCACCCTTAGGGCAGAAAGTGAAGAGGAACTAAAAAGCCTCTTGATGAAAGTGAAGGAGGAGAGTGAAAAAGTTGGCATAAAGCTCAACATTCGGAAAACTAAGATCATGGCATCTGGTCCCATCACTTCATGGCAAATAGATGGGGAAACAGTGGAGACAGTGTCAGACTTTATTTTTTGGGGCTCCAAAATCACTGCAGATGGTGATTCCAGCCATGAAATTAAAAGATGCTTACTCCCTGGAAGGAAAGTTATGACCAACCTGGATAGCATATTTAAAAGCAGAGACATTACTTTGTCAACAAAGTTCTGTCTAGTCAAGGCTATGGTTTTTCCAGTGGTCATGTATGGATGTGAGAGTTACACTGTGAAGAAGGCTGAGCACCGAAGAATGAATGCTTTTGACCTGTTGGAGAAGACTCTTGAGAGTCCCTTGGACTGCAAGGAGATCCAACCAGTCCATCCTAAAGGAGATCAGTCCTGGGTGTTCATTGGAAGGACTGATGTTGAAGCTGAAACTCCAATACTTTGGCCACCTCATGCGAAGAGTTGACTTATTAGAAAAGACCCTAATGCTGGGAAGGATTGGGGGCAGGAGAAGGGGGCGACAGAGGATGAGATGGCTGGATGGCATCACTGACTCAATGGACATGGGTTTGGGTAGACTCCGGGAGTTGGCAATGGACAGGGAGGCCTGGCATGCTGTGATTCATGGGGTCGCAAGGAGTCGGACACAACTGAGCGACTGAACTGAACTGAACTGAAGGCTTCTCCCTACCAATCTGTGCTACTTTTTATAGAATTATGCTGTTGTTGTTGTGGTTTAGTTGCTAAATCATGTCCAACTCTTTTGCAACCCCACGGACTGTAGTCCACTAGGCTCCTTTGTCCATGGGATTTCCCAGGCAAGAATACTGGAGTGGATTGTCATTTCCTTCTCCAGGGGACCTTCCCAACCCAGGGATCAAACCCGTGTCTCCTGCATTGGAAGGTGGATTCTTTATCACTGAGCCACCAGGGAAGCCCATACCAAATTATACTCCACTCCAAATATGCTGTTATTTCTTGCTTCTGTCCCTTTAGCTATGTACTCTTTCTGCCCACAATACTCTTCTCCTTCAAATAAGCTCCTATGCAACCTTGCAGATCCATGTGAAGTTTCACCTCCCCAGGGCAGGGCAGAGGCATGCACTCCTGGCTCCAGGCTCCCAGTGCGCTCCAATAGCACTTGTATCATTTCAGAACTGTTTACTATTCCAGCTTCTTCTTTAGACCAAGCATCTTGGACCTAATGTATTTCCTTTCTTAATGTATTTCTCTAGTTTCAGCACAAGTCCTAGTATGTAATCAGCACTCAGTAAATGTATACTGAATTAATAAAAGTCACATCACCACTCTGGGGCCCAATCTCATAATCTGGAAAATGGGGAGAACAATTTCTGCCCTGCTTTTCTCACAGGGCTATTACAGGACTCAAATGAGATAACAAGGAGTAAGATCTTAATAAGTTGGTAAATCCCAACAAGTGTGAATACAAGTTATTATTATTCCAAATCCTTCAAAGCCTAGCTCCTTCATTTATTTACCTGTTCATTTGCTCATTCATTCATCTGGCAAATATTTATTACATGCCAGACCTTCCCTGAGACCTCAGGACTGAGTCCTGCCACTATCCTCTCATTTTCTAGAATGATTTGAGTCTGAATGCCATCCATAATCAAGCACTCGGCCCCATAGTCTTACTTGCTTTTTTATTTCTTTTTCTGCAGGAACCCTACTTCTCCACCTGCCATCACTCCTCCTACGTAACACTGGGTACTCAGGCGGGCGGGGTGTGTAGTCAAGAGGAGGGTGGAAGGACAGCCCTGACATAAGATGTCCAGAGTGTCATCCTCTTTAGGAATTCCTGCTGTTTTCCTCAAAGGAAAAGAAAGAGATGGATTTATCTCTCTGGGCCTCTCAGGTGAGCTATAAAGATAAGATGCTGACAAATGGAGAAGGTGAAAAGCTCATCTGAAGAAAAGCCAGATGAATATGTAGGATTACTAGCAGCCCTTAATAATAAGTCCTGAAATAGGCCAGCACCAGCCTTCCTTCTCTGGTGAGCAGGCCTCTGCTCTTCCTTCTCTTTTTCTCCCAGCTCTCAAAACTTTACTGAGACCTACACACCCACCCCTGTATCAGCCTGCCCCTTGGCAAGGCTCACTGGGTGGGTGTGGAACATGCCCAGGACAGTTGGAGACTCAGACATAGCATTTACATGAAAGAAGACAGTGAGATTGGAGGTGAACAATTGGCGTGATCCAACTGTCTCATAGCTCGAACTTTTCAGTTTTTCATCGTACAAGATGCAGAGCCCATTTCAAGAACTGGCAAGTCAAAGGAATTATGCTTTTCTCTATCTAAGACAAGGGAAGCAATCACAATGACCTCACACCATCCTCTGCTCTGCTACTGGTCATCTTTCTTTGTTTTCAAGACAAAATTTCGCCTTTGAAAGTATATATCCATTATTAAATGTTAGGGAAAAACACAAGACTATAAAAAAGAAAAATATTAAATTACTAGACACCCCATCCATTCAGAAACTGCCATCATTAATATTTGAAGTACATTTCCTCCTTTATTTTTTCACACACCAGAGTGCCATCTATTTTGAAATTATATCTTATTATTTAATTTAAACGGTATATATATTGTGGTATACCTGGGCCTTAATATTATCAGTAAATACTTGTTAAGTACTCGTTATTTTCCATGAGGGACATGGTGGTGACAATAAACATGTGACAGTTACCATTTATTGAGCACTGTGATATAATAAAAGATACATATTTGGTCTGGGTACCTGGTTCCAGGCAGAGCTCCTAAAACCTTTGGAATGTCTGGAAGTGGAAGTGATAAAGTGTCTTGTTGTATGCTGAGATGACTGGTGACTGGGGTTCCAGGACAACCTCAGAGTAGGGGCTTGTTGCCAGAGGAACCAACCACATGTTAGAGGATTGGCACTTTCAGCATCACCCGCTAACCTCTGGGGAGATGAGAAGAGCTGGAAATTAAGTTGATGACTAAAGGCCAATGACTTAATCAATCATGCCTACAGGAACGAAGTCTTCATAAACAACCCTAACCAAATGGGCGTGGAGATCTTCCAGGCTGGTGATGACATTGATGTGTTGGAAGGGTGGTATACCTGGAGAGGCCATGGAAGCTCCAAGACCTCCCTTTCCACATACCCTGCCCTATGCATCTCTTCCACTTGGCTGTTCCTAAGTTGTATCCTTTTACACTTTTATAATAAGCCAGTGTATGCATTACTCTTTATATATATAAATAATATATATTGAAAACATTTATATTACACTAAATAATTCAAATTTTACAATTTGCAAGTTATCAAATAGTAAAATTACTATTATTTTATCACTATTTGTCATTTGCATTATTTTCTTAACTTTCAGCATAAAAAGTAAGTAATATGAAACCTAAAGGTTTACAGTGAAAAATAAGTGTTGCTTCCACCCCTGATTCCCAATCTCTAGTTCCTCTCCCCAGAGGCAAACATGTTAACAATTTTTGTATCCTTCAAAGGTAGTCTTATATAGCATATATAAGCATAGAAGTCTATTCATACTTTATACATATTTACATATATATATATATATATATATATATATATATGGTAGCATACCATACTCTCGAGTCTATATCTTCCATGTGTATTTTAGTAGCTGAGATCTTTAGTTTTGTATCCTATTCCTTTTCACTTAACATTATATCATAAACATCTTACTGAGACTTTAAAAATTCCTTGTAAATATGATTTCAATTGACTACACCTTATTTCACCCTATGGTTGTGTCACATGACCAATTCTTTAAAGTTGTATATTTATTTTTCTGGTCTCAATTATTATAAATTAAGTTAGAGTGACCATTTCTTTACATAAATATTTGTTCTCTTTCCTATTTATTTCTTTATTACACCAATCCTTACATGAAATGTTCCCTTGATATCTTGAATTTTCTTGAAGAGATCTCTAGTCTTTCCCATTGTATCATTCTCCTCTTATTTCTCAGCAGTGTTTATTGAAAAGTAATACTCTGCTATACTCCAGAACTCTGCATTCAGTTGGGCATATCTTTCCTTTTCTCCTTTGCCTTCCACCTCTCTTCTTTCCTCACCTATTAGTAAAGTATCTTCAGACAACCACTGTGCCTATTTGCATTTCTTTTTCTTTGAGATGGTTTTGGTCACTGTCACAAGAAG